TCTTCACTCCTGTGCGGCATCCCCTTGTCTAAGTATCATCTTCACTCCTGTGCGGCATCCCCTTGTCTAAGTATCATCTTCACTCCTGTGCGGTATTCCCTTGCCTAAGTGTACCCCAGTTTAATTTTCTAGTCTCCTTTTGGTTAACACTGAGATGGTTTCAGATTGTGCTATTACACAAGGTGTTGCAGTTAACATTCTCGAGTTACAGTTTCTGAGAGAGATACACCTTCATCCTCACCAGATAGCCCTGAACCTCGCCCCTATGTGCTTGGGTTATTTAACGCTCACATGGCACCAAGATGAGTTGCTCCATAGTCAGACTTTTCCTTTTTGCCAACTTGACAGATGTGAAATGGTGTCTCAGTTTTGTTCTGCATTTCCCTGATTACTGGTGAGGCTGAGCATCTTTTCAAACGTTTGTTGGCCATTTGTGTTATGTCTTCTGTGAATTGCCAGCCAGCTCCTATCCTTTGCTCATTTTCGTATTGATTTGTAATTTTGTTTGCTCTTTTCTTATGTAGTAGGAGTTCTTGGTGTGTTCTTGATACTAATCCTTTGTCCGTGGTGTGTGTGTGGTGAATCTCTTCCAGTTTGCGACTTGTCTTTTCACTTTGTTTTTAGTGTTTTTGTTGAATAGAAGATTTTAATTCTAAAGTGAATAATTTTATTTGCCTTTTCAGTTTTCGAGGGTTTTTTTTGGGGGGGGTTGCATTACTTAAATCTTTTCCTACCCTTAAGAAATCTTTTCCTACCCTGAGGTCATAAATATATTTTCTTCTAAACAATTTAAAGTTTTGCTTATCCCATGTAATTTTTTAATTCTCTTGGAATTGATTTCCGTCTATAGTGAAGGTGGGATATGATTTTATCTTTTTCCCATTTTGGTTAACCAATTGACCAGCACCATTTATTGAAGTTTACAACCTTTCCTATTGATGTGTATCACATGTGTCACATACTCAAGTTTCTGTATATGAGGTGACTGTTTCTGGACACACTGTTCCATTGGTCTGTTATCTTTGCTGTCTTAAGCAAATCTTAAATGCAGGTAAGCAAGTCTCACCTACCCACCTCATTTTCTTCAAAACTGCTTTGGATATTCTTTGCCTTCTGCATTTTAGGATTTCCTGTGCATTTTAGGATCAGCTTATCAAGTAACACACACAAAAAAAAACTAGTGGAATTTTTATTAGAATTACATTGAATGTAAGATTAATGGGAGGGAACTGACTGTAACATTCAGGCTTCCCATTTATAAACACAATTCTTCAGATTTTTTACATTTCTTTTAATGGTCTTTTATCATTTTCTCCATAAAGGACTAGGACATCTTCTGTTAGACTTACGTCTAAGAAATTTATAGTTTTTGTGTCTATTGTGACTGGAATATTTTTTTCCATTTTATTTTGTAATTTGTTGTTACTAATGTATAGAAATGCTATTGATAATTATAGTTTAATTTTGCACCCAGCAGCCTTGCTGAATTCTTTTTTTTTTTTGGCTGCTCCGCATAGCTTGCGGGATCTTAGTTCCCTGACCAGGGATTGAACCCGGCCCCCTGCAGTGGAAGTGTGGAGTCCTAACCACTGGACCGCCAGGGAATTCCCTCTGAATTCTCTTGATAGTTGTAAAATTTGTCTATAGAATCTCTTGGATTTCTTATTTAGAATGTAATGTCATCTTCAAGTAAGGAGTTTTGCTTTTTCCTTCCTGATTCTTAAGA